GAGCAGAATTTATCATGCATCGTACTAAACAGTCCTACTACTTCAATGGTGAACAACCTAGTAAACTACTAGCTTTACGGTTAAAATTTAATGAACAGAGAGCTAATATACATGCAATTAGAGATGAGGGTATATTGTATACTCATCCGAATGAGGTGAATAGAGCCTTTGAGGAATTTTATCAGCGGTTATACACTTCAGAATTTCAGACAAGCCATAATGAGTACCAAAGTTTCTTAGACAAATTACAACTCCCCAAACTAACAAATGATCAGCGTGATTTTTTGGATAGCGCTCTGTCAATGGAAGAACTAAAATTGGCATTAGACTCCATGACTTCTAACAAAGCTCTAGGCCTAGATGGTATTCCCCCTGAATTACTGCATGCCCTCTGGGATATACTTGGTCCCCTCATTTTAAATTCCTTTAATTTTGCCTTAGAGCACGGCTCTCTCCATAGGGACCAGAATACTGCATTGATAACTCTTTTATTAAAGAAAAGAAAGGACCCCTTAGATTGCTCCAGTTACAGACTCCATTACACCCAAATTCCAATAACCAAGAACTTCACCTACTTGGGTATTTTTTTCAACATTATTACAAACAACTAAATATAACAATTTTTCGCTCTTAGATAAGATTAAGAATGATCTCGACAGATGGTCCCCACTATGTCTAGCTCTGCACGGTAGAATAGCAACTGTTAAAATGAATGTTCTACCTAGATTAAATTTCCTTTTCTCAATGCTTCCAGCAGCACCACCTAATGGGTATTTTAAGGAACTTAATTCTGTGGTAAGTAAATTTATATGGAACAACAAGAGACCCAGAATTCGACTCAAAAATATACAACGCCTAAAATGTGATGGAGGATTATCTCTTCCAGATTTTAAATTATACTATTTGGTGTTTCAAATTAGACCTCTGAAGACCTGGAATAATGCTGATTCCTTTGTACCTTGGCGCAGTCTAAAAGCTAATATTGTTCACCCCGTTAGACTTCAGGACTTGCCCTTTACAGGGATCCCTAAAAAACTTTTAAAAACGTTTGGCTCTATAGTTGCCCACTCTTTTAGAATTTGGAAGGAGGTGGAAGCAATTATGGGAGGCCCCTTTCCATATACTAGTAAAACACCTCTCTGGCATAATAGTAACCGCAATACAGGCAGTAAGCCATTTGTATATAAAGTTTGGTCTAAACAAGGCATACATACCCTAAAAGATATTTTTAATTATGAGGGTTTGAAGTCATTTCAAGATCTCAGAGAAGAGTTTGTCTTGCCTGGTTTTTCTTTTTTTTTTTATATCTAAGACTGAGATCTGCCCTAAAGGCTTATGGTGTCCCCTGGTCCAACCAAATTACCTCACACCCTCTACAGAAATGGATAGATTCTACTACTATATCAAGAGGCATGGTATCTGTGGTGTATATGTCACTCCTTAAACAATCATATTCTAATCCCTCAGTGTCTTTGTTTTGGGAGAAAGAACTTAATGTTAAACCTAATTGGGTTACGGTGTGGAAGAATTGCTTTATTACTTCAAAAAACCCAGCACACCATATAATTCATTTTAAGTTCAAACACAAAGTATATGTCACTCCTAATCTGCTGTATAAATTTAAAGTTAGACAAGATCCTTATTGTCATTTGTGTAACTCAGCAATAGTCGGTACATATATGCATATGTTTTGGGCATGTCCTATCGTGTATGTCTTTTGGTCATATGTTCAAAATACTCTCTCTAATATTTTGGGAAAATCTGTACACAAAGATCCCTGGACTTTCCTCCTACTTGAAGACTCTGCAGAATTGTTTTCTACTCATCAAAAAAGGATTTTTTTGGCCGGCCTCACAGCAGCCAAAAAGACAATACTGAAAATATGGTTTGAACCCTCCGTTCCTATGCATCTTGTTTGGCTTACTTATTTTTGGGACATCACTCTTCTGGAATGTACAACAGCCAGGATAAATAAGGCCAAAATAAGAACAAATGTGTCCTGGTCAAATACTGAGAAAGAGCTGTTAAAAGCAATGAGAGCATAGCAACCTTTTCTAATTGATATGAGGGTGTAAACTTCAGTATACTGAGTTTATTCATTGTCTCCGTACTATGTTTGTTGTGGGAAGCTCTGTGGGCATGTCCTGGGCTTTTTGAACATAGTTCTCTTAACTTGTTAATAAAATATTGATCACAAAAAAGAGGAGGTTTTCTACACATCCACCTCTTACACTACTTATTATCCACTAAAACACAAAACCTTAAAAATGCACAGCAATCATCAAAAGGAGAAATCTTCTGTGCTATTAGCATTAAGTTCTGCATCTGAAAACAGTAGGGAATGTTACTCAAAGGAGAGACAGACAGATGATATCTTTTCCTGTCTGATTTGGACGCTCACTTATCTTTTTGCAAATGTCACTAAATTTCAATTAAAAGGAAAAATGCTGGGCACAATTCTATGTGAATACGAAGGGGTGGGGGAAGAATTCTCATGATGACATTACACGGTAAGCGAAAGCATGGCTTGGGCTGTGGTGAACGAGATAAAAGATGAGATCAGAGATGCACTGAGGGTCGACAAACACGGATTTAATCTTACACACTAAAGGCTGGTGCCAATCACTCAGGCTGGGTATTCAAAAAAGGACTTATTTTAGATAAAGACTGGAAATGAAGCAGTCACAAAAAGGAAGGTTATTTCACAAATGAATGAGCTCATCCCTCACAGATGACAAACTGGATCTAAATGTAATTGTGGAAGTCCACTGAATTTACTCTTCATGCTGTGAGCCATATTCATCAACTCCTTCAGTAGATGTAAAATGGGTACATATGTTCTCCAAAATTATTCTTGATTATAAGCATTATGCATAAAGCTGTATTCCTTAATAATCTATATTCAATGAAATGACATAAAAACTGAAAGCACTCACTCAGAGCAATCTAAGTATCTATACTCTAATTTCTTCACACATACCAAATGCGGGTAATATAATAATATATTTGAAACAACAAGAAAAAAAAAACACCACCACATAGTTATGAAATTCTGTTCTGCTACTTCGTAGTTGATATTCTGAGACTGTAGTCAGTTTTGCTGCAAAGTTGTTTTTTAGGCAAACATCTCTCCACCTGAATGCTTCTCAGATGAGACTGAATTGCAGGTAATATCAGGACTGATGTTTTCTGAATCAGTGCACCCCGATAAAAGGCTGTGACAATAGAGTTTTTGCAACTAGTCGAAAAGAATGGTGAAGAAAACATAATTCAAACTGAGCAAAAGAGCAAGAACAAAATTATATGTGTAGACCCTGAAACTTAATCCTTGGGAGGCCAGCTCCTTGGCATTCTTTGAAAGTGTTATTGTAACAGTTTAGTCATACTCAGCCTCCTTGGTGGTACAACCCTGTGGAATCAATGTTTTCAACAATTTAAAAGCAATCTGGGTGCATCCAAGCAGGGATGCACTGATACTATTTTTTTCAGACTGAGGATGAGAGATGGTACTTGCTGATATTAAGTCCGATATCTTAAACCTACAAACTCAGAATTAAGTAGCTGTTAGTGTAAATGAGTGCAATGTACCTTAACAGTTAAATAGTTAAAATCTAGCTGATATTAAATGACATGCATTAGCTAGCTTTGCTACATTTGTAGAGCTGCAGTGGAGAAGAGCGGGTTTTGTACCACGTGAGATAAGCACTTATGAACAGCTATAAGTACATTTACAGTTTTAATCGCCCCTCTTCATCTGTCTCTATAGCACAGTGACAGCAGGAATCAAACCTCGGGCTAATCAGGGGAGCTCATGTTTCATGTTATTGAAGTCTTTTTGGTTGGTTGAGCTGTGGTTGACTGTCCTCTGAAGCCAGACAAACACCATTTTAGAAATATTGTTCTTTGCTGACTTACACTGTTTGAACACACCATGCTGTGTGAAACACAGCCTCTACAGACAACTTCAAATAAAGCTGCTTCATTCAAAATAACATGCTGCACAGCGAGTACTGAGAAAACACACTGAGAAACTGAGCAGCTCGGCTACCCATACTGTGCAGCAGAATATACACGGTAGGACAATATGGTCTCTCTAAAGCCTTTCATTATAAACACAGCTTAAAAAAGACAGAAAGGACAGACAGTAACATCTGTAGATTTTTCAGATCTGAATCAAGAGCTCCACTTGATTTTCTCCTTTTAAGTACTGTTTATTTGATGGTGACAGTTTTGGTAATCTACTAGGTCTTCCTTCAGTTGTTAGAAGTCCCTTTTTCTCTGTATACTTTTTACATTTTTTTGGAAGCTCCTGTCCACCCCCCCCCACCCCACACTCATTTTCCTTTGACTTTCTTCCCCTTTCTTACACAAGTAGACTATTTTATATCTAATCTCCTCAGAAATATCTCCAGAAACTAGTGCTTAATGGCTGTTTAAACCGGAAATTAAATAAATAAGGATGGTCTCTTTTGTACAGTACTGTATGCAAGTACTAAACCCCCAGTATGTAAATATACAATACCAGTATGTTACATCATGGTGGTAGACTCCTAAGAGACAAATCAGTCACACTTTCTGTACTCCCATGGGACACACCATCATATCTCTCAGCTAATTTTCGGTGCCATGTGGAAGCAGTCATCCAGCCCAGTGTGGGTGGAAGTGGGACGACAACACGTAGAGAAATCCAGCAAATCAATGAATAGCCTAAACAAATTGATATTTACTTAATAATTAACATAAATAAGTAAGATCTACCAGCAAAATACCAAACATCAATAAACTCATTTTAAACAGTAACCCATCACGCGAACAAAAAGCAAACTGCATTCTTGTAGGCTACAGAAACAACAGTCTTCAGAAGGCCTCAGCTGTGGAAAGTGCTCTTAAGAAAAGTGAATACTTGAAAAATAAAGGTAAGTCAGGCATGTGGCACTCATTTCAATTTTTGACTAATGCAAATGGAAACCAGCTATTAAGACCTTTACATTCAGGCTTACCTGCTTCATGTAGGCATAACACATGGTCTCAGCAACACGCTTCCCTTCATCATAACAAGCCCTCGGCCCAATCGGGTTCACATGACCCCAGTAATCTTCATTCTGAGGATGCACCTCCGGGTCTGTATGCATAGACAAAAACAAAACAAATCATCTCAACATCAATCTGATGTGACAAGCTGTCCAATTATGATGTTTTACTAACACATGTGGCCACAATCAAGCACACATGCACATACATGCATACACATGTAAATGCAGCTTATAGCCCTCACAGCTGGGAAACACACTTTAACACATCCAGCTTGGCACTGACAGCAGGGTGATGCACTGTAACTCTGACCCAAAAAGACAGCAAGCAGGTTGAGGCAGTGAAATTGAAGCACTGTGCGTGATAAGTGTTTGTGTCTCATTACAAGGTGTCAAACAGAGCAGTGCAACAGTACCTGAGAGAGATCATCATTAGACCTGTGTTGAGCCCCAGGGGGTCTTTTTGATTTACATCACAGGCTGCTAAACCTCACAAAACTGCTGCTAAGCCTTACACAACAGGCTGCTAATCCTCAAAGATATAAAAGAGTGTTCAGGCATAAGAGGCCGTAGGCTGTTTTCACTCCTAATTAGTTTGGTACTCCAAACCAGAGTTTAGGTTTTTGTGATGTAATATCTTTTTCATTTGGTTCGGTTGGTTTCACATCGCAATGGCTAAAGTGCACCAAATTATATATGACAACTGTAGGAATGCGAGAAGCTGGATTATCCTTCCAGGCTTGATTTAAACGGAATGCAACCTAAATGAAGACAGTGTGGTGTCAGTGGGTAGAGGAGGGTCAGACTCACCAAAATGAGGGGTCTAGACTGCCACACAGAATACACAGAGAAATAGGAGGACAACAAATTGTCCGCATGGTTGTGATGGACTGAAAAGCCACATCACAGACCTTGGCCCAGCAGCTGAAATGTATCCCACGTCAATGGGTGTCAGCCTGCACTGTTCAACGATGACGGCTATCTTTGACCCTCGACCACAGACTGCAGTGGTGCCAAAAACTTAACAAATGGCAGGATGACTGGCATAGCATGCGTTTTCAGACAAGTCCGGCTTCAGTTTACTGCACCAAGTCAAAGTCAAGTCAAACTTAGTATACAATATTAAAATACAGAACAAGGGGAAAAGCAGGTAAAGCAATGGCTATGATTAAATAGCTCGAGTTCATGCAGGTGAGGTTTGCACAGCGTTGTACAGCAGGAAGCTCGATGGTAGTCGAACTGGTCCAGGAGACGGGCAAGCAGTGGGCACCCGATCAAGGCAAATGAAGCAACAGCATGAAACCGCACAGGAAGGGCAGGTGTTCAGCTCAAGAGTTAGTTCAGTCATCCATGATGGATGAGCCTGCGTACGGAGGCACTGCAGCAAAATGTTCATGAAGGCATGCATTTTTTCAGCCCCATGTGGGTTGCACTCCCGTTTTTGCCTTATATGCATTGCTGGTAACTTGACCAGCCAGTGATACACTGGAGCCTGAGGAGGCACCATATCTAAAAAGGGGTGCCCTGCTGCAATATTCTACCAAGACAGTGCTGGATCACATGCGTCACAAAACATCCTGGATAATTGTCCCATGCCACTTTTTCCCTGGCCTGCACAGTCACCCGACTGCACACCGACTGATGTGCCAGAGACTGCCAGCAGCTACAATAGACAAACTATGGGCACATACAGACGCTGCATGGCATGACATTCCACAAACATGCATCCAATATCTCTTCCTCTCTATGCCAGAACACCTAGAAACCTGTGGTGGATACGTCAGTATTGTGTATTCTGTAAGACTGACCGAGCTGTATATTTTTTATCATGCATGCCATGTATCATAAGCAACCGGCCAAATAAATATCGCTTTAATATCTCATGTCTTTCTTGGAGTTGCAATTTCAATGGCCAGCAGTGTAAATAATTTTTTTAAAAATAACTGTTCTATACACAGGCTTCTACTGATTAAATGTATTTTAGACTACAATTTTTGAGGCTCAAAAAGAACATAGTTTCTAAATATTAAATACAGAACCAGGTACCAGCGTAAAAAATGATTTGAGCCACTGCTAGGAAATACCAACAAATATTCTCTAAGTCTCTACAGGGCCAACATTAAATATTTCCATAGTATTGACCAATGGCAGTTTTCAAGGAAGGTTACATACTAACCAACACATGCAATGTATTCAAGTGAGTACCAGAAGACCATACAAAACTTGAACTATAAATAAGTAATATCTATAACTATAAATTCAAATGTTAATCTTAAATGTGCTAAATTGCCAGTAGCCTGTTGATTTACAATGCACTTTCCAAAAAAGTTGGGAAGCTGTGCTTACGCCTTGCTTATCTCAGCGAGACAATGTCAAAACAGAGTCTCCATGTATTACAACAGCATGACTCTGTAGTAAAAGAGTCCGAGTGCTAAACTGGCCTGCAGTCCAAACCTGTCACCACTGAGAACATTTGGCACATTCTGAAAATAAAAGAAATCAAATAAAACGAACTGAAAAATACGAAAAAGGAGACCCTGAACTGTTGAGCAGCTGAAATTCTATATCAAGCAAGAACAGGAAAACATTTCACTTTCAAAACTACAGCAATTGGTTTAATCAGTTCCCAAACGTTTGCAGAATTTAAAAGAAGAGTTGATGCAACACGGTGGTAAACACTCCCCCGTCCCAACTCTTCCGAAATGTGTTGCTGGCATCAAATTCAAAATGGGCATATATTTTTCAAAGAACTATAAAAGTTCTCGGTTTCAAAATCTAAAATGTTGTCTTTGTACTACTTTCAGTGAAATACAGGGTTTAAATGATTTGCACATCATTGCACTGTTTTTGTTTTTTGCACAGCTGCCCAATTTCATTTTTGGAAATGGCGTTGTATGTTATTTAATCATGCTAATTTTTTCTTTATGATTTCGAAATGTCATTTTGGCATTTAAAATTGTGAGCAGAGCAAATAAAAGCAACCAAAAAATTGGCCACTGGACTACTTAACTATAAAGAAATCAGAATCGAATAAAAATTCATTAGCACTTCTAATCAATGTAATCAACGTATGTTTCAAACTCACAGTATTTGACTGATCACAAGACAAAACAGATTAGTGGGATATCAGAAAAAGACATATACATAAAAGTATAGTACTCTTCTATAATCTCTCTGATGACTGGTGCTGAGAGATATATATTCTATACTGGTATCCTGGTATCACAAAGCTCATCATGGTTCAGTACACGCTGGCTGGCTACACACGCTTCCAACCAACAAAAATATATGTATTAACCTGCTATAACTCAACGGGAGCACAGATAATGTCAAAGACATTCAGCCATGTGGTATTTCTTTTACTATTGCTTTTGTATTTGTTAAGTTTCGGATCGAAAAGAATGAGGAATCCAGACATCAACTTTTTGTCCATGTCGTCCAGACAGAACTTGTATAAAGTTGAAGCCAGTTCAACCAAAGCCAGTTAAAGTTAGCACTTACTATCGAGCACAGAACTATAATTTGCTCTATAGTTTGTGAGGTTTGGACAAACTATAGAGCAAATAAAAAAAAGAAGTTTCTCAAATCTGCATATTACAAACCTAAAAGCCAAAATGGTAAAACCGGCTCTAAATGGACTTACGTGATGCTCGTTGTCATGGCAAGGTCTACACTTAGTGCTACTCTACGCATGCATGTAATTTTGGATCTGATTACTTGTCGTGGGCATGTAAACAGAGATTTTCATCAAGATTGCTGAATAAAGTGAGGATATAAACACCTCAGTCTTAATCTATAATCGGGACAAATTCAAATGGATTGGCGAAAATCTCTGCATGTAAACACAGCCAACTACAACATTTCACAAACACCCCTGGCATTAATTTATTTTCCATAAGAGCAGAAAAGATTGGCCCAGAACACTTCTGACAAATGACAAAAATAGCACAAGAAGAGGGCTGAAGTAACGATCCAAACAGATCAATTTCACTGACATTAAAACGACCAGTCTTTTCAAGTACTTATCACTCTCTAGTGTCATTCTTAAGTGTCATGTGTTTTTTTGCACTCAACTCTTTAGGCAAATTAATGACTAAACAGATGAATAGATGGCTTCAAACATCCAGTGAACCCTGCGCAAAACCTGCCGGATAACAATGGTAAAGCTCCTGTTCCAGTTTAGCCCTATCTGCACTCTTTTGCCTGCAAGCTCTGGCAGTCACAAACAGAGCCTTGCAAGGATGTCTAGCAGCAGTGGTTAGTGAACAGACAAAAATCAAAACATCAATCTCTCCTGCCTCTCAGCCAGCCAGTGAAATATGCAGATTCCCCAGAGGACTGAAGATTGACAAGGAGGACAAAAAGTGAGAATGACACTGTGTAGCACCCTAGAATGCAAAACTACAACACTTGCATGACTCAAAAAGGTCACAGTTACAGGCCAACTTACCATGACCTTTTGGTCATTAGCATTAGAGACAGACATTATAATAACAAATGTTAATTGACCACTATGTTAGAAACTGAAAAACGTGTGTATCTGCTCTTATTTGATTATGTTGTGAATCGCTCTAACAGTCAAATCTCAAGACAACACTTATTATAATGATGGCACCCAGTGTAAATGCCCATACCTCCATAAACTTCTGATGTGGAAGCAAGTAGCAGTCGAGCACCCACTCGCTTAGCCAGACCTAAGAAATGAAGAGAAACAAGAAAATCAGTCCTGTATTCAAGGCTCAAGATAAAACATGATCAGCAAATAATAAGTAAATAAAAAAGAGATATCAAGCAGACAAAAGCAATCAGTGATCAGTCTGTCGTAATCAAGGCTGAGTGACAGTCTAAAAGGCACCAGACTCAGGCCAAAAGCAGGCCAAAGTAATGTTGCTTTAGCTTTTGGTCAAATTGATTAGCATCTTCACATTCCTCCTCATCCTCCTCTTCCACCAGGATTACACTGAATTTTATCTGCAGCATTGATATGTAGTCCTGAATGACAAAGAAAGACATTAAGGTCGCAAGACAGATACTGTTTTTCTACAAATGCAGCACACTGCCTCTTCCAAATTCGCCAGCTGCCCATTGTCGTCTGTCTCAAAGCCAAAATGTGCCCAAACTGGTGACACAACCTTTGGCTTAGGTACTGAATTCATGTCCATTGTTGAGTCAAATAATGTCAACCAGCCTGCACCAACTGTAGGCATTCCCACATAATGGTGCTCACTATATGCTCATAAACACTTGAAGTTAAAATCCTACTGCTTAAATTCCAACTGTTTACATTATGCTTCTGTCTTTTATGTCTCTGTATGTTTATGTATACATATAATTGAACATTATCTGCAGATATTACAAGCATTCGAGCCTAGAAAAAATTATTAATAATCAGACACACACAAAAGACATCCCCCACGTTTAATGAACTTGTCCCTCCACTTCAAGGTTAAGTGACAGGCAAATGAAACTAATTGTTTCTCCAGAATCTCATGAACACAGGATGGAAGACAGTCAATCATAACTAAACAGTGATTATTGTGTTTATATTTCATGTAAAACGACATACGCGCTTCTACAACTGTCACCAGCAAAATAAATTAAATAAAAAAACAAAAAAAAAGAAAAGAAAGTTGCGGTGATGATGGTAATGACCTCAACCCTGCAGCAGTCATCACATGACCGCAGTATGGTGGTTATCATCACAGCCCTAGATACAAACATATAAAAATGCACTATATAACAGTAAAGAGATGAAAGTAAGCCACTATAAGGCGTAACCTCTTGGTTCTCTCTCTCTCTCTCTCTCTCGACTTGAACTTTAAAAGCAGCCCGGCAAAGCTCGTGAAGATTTGGCTGCTGTTACCCCTGTGCTCCAATCTGTTTTGTGTGCTCCTAGTTGTAGTTGCTGTCGCAGACACATAAGCTTTGTGTTCTTTCTACTCATGCAGTTTTGTGTGTGTCTGCGATAGTTTTGTCTGTGTCTTGATGGAGTTTTTTCCAGTTCATGTAAGCTTATATGCTAGCCTTGTTGTTTTAACGGCTGTCTATGCTCTCTTTCTGCCTTTCTCTCTCTCATACGCTGCTGTGCTTTTTTGGGGTTCTGGACAGGTTAGATGGGCGCGCTCATACATTATTACATCACGTAGCTGCCCAATGTATAGACACCATAGGTAAGGGGTGGGCGCCAATCCATGTATTTATGTTATGCCATAGGGAAGACTAGTGTAGATAGTTTTTTTTTTGTTTTTGCTACTAGGTGAGGATTTCAATTAAAGAGCTAGGGTAGGTTTTTTTTTTGTTTGTTTGTTTTGATTATTTCTTTCCTTTAGTGCCGTCCGGGTCCAGAATCCCGTTCTTATTTTTGTAAATATTGTACATAGTATTGTTTTGGAGGTCTCACTCAAGTAATAAAATGAGTGTACTTTATCCTTTATCCCTAGCGTATAATAAATGAGAAAAAGAAGCTACCCTATTTGTGTTGTATTCCTTCCTGGTTTGTGCTGCAAACCTCACATCTAAACCATATGTTACTGACCCCATTATCCCCTAGACTTTCCTGTGGGGTCGTAACAGTCCAAAACGAGTTTAACATTTTGTCTAATGTATATGACAATTTTTTTATAATGAACCAGGTGCTCCACTAGTACAAGTAGTATGAAGGCTACTATGAGGCTACATTTAGTACCTCGAGTAACTCTCTCTACAACAGCACTATGCGTATTTGCTGCTGTGTGTGCGTAAAATTCAAATAAACTTATTTGACCTTTTGCATAACAGATTAGTGTTCCAATTACAGAGCATAACAGCTGGAGTGGATGAATGCCAACATCTGTGAACATACTGTCAATTCAACATATCATTTCTATTTGCTCAGCAGCTGTGTTACAGAGCAACCACTGACCACAGCACATGCTTTTAAATGGTACTGATGCTCTCGCTGAAATACAACATCTAAAACATGTTCAAGTATTGACATAAAAACACTACAGTTTATTCAAAAGCCAGAAGACTGTGTAGAATAATCATCCCTGACGCTGGAGAGAGAAACTGTCCCTTAAAGCCTCATCCAAAACTGACCACTGCCATGACTGGCAAAGACAAGCTGAGTTTGGTGTATTGGGGGATGTGGACTGTAAAATACAAACAAACTTAGTCATATCATGTTTGTCACTTGCAATCTTATGGAAATAGCAAATGTCACCAAAGTCAAACTCAAATTGCTGTGAGGATGTGGGATTACTGCAAGTGAAAGCATAATATCAGTTTACAAATCCCTCTGTCTAAACCCTCGAGAGAAATATACTACCACAGCATATCAGTGAGCATACTGTGATTCTAGAAAAAAGCCAGAAGCAATACAGACTGTTCTGTTCCTATGTTTCATCATACGATGTTAATATACAATAGACTGGCCACTTCATTAAGTACACCTCCATATTTCTACACTCACTGCCCATTTTATTAGCTCCACTCATCACACAGAAACACAATTACAGACTGTAGTCCATCTGTTTCTCTGCATACTTTGTTAGCCCCCTTTTACCCTGTACTTCAATGGTCAGGACCCCCACAGGACCACCACTTTTTGAGTGGTGGATCGTTCTCAGCACTGCGGGGACACTGACGTGGTGGTCTGTTAGTGTGTGTTGTGCTGGTACAAGTGGATCAGACACAGCAGTGCTGCTGGAGTTTTTAAACACCTCAGTGTCACTGCTGGACTGAGAATAGTCCACCAACCAAAAATATCCCGCCAACAGCATCCTGTGGGCAGCATCCTGTGACCACTGATGAAGGACTAGGGGACAACTAACATAAACCATGCAGCAACAGATGACTCTGACTTTACATCTACAAGGCAGATCAACAAGGTAGGAGTGTCTAATAGAGTGGACAGTGAGTTATATCAGCACGACACACAAACACCATGTCAGTGTCACAGCTGTGCTGACAAAGGTCCACCACCTAAATAATACCCAATGTTAATGTTTCGGCTGATCGTGTATACACACACACACACACACATACTTACCAAGCATATTGAGAGTGCCAATAGTGTTGGTTTTCAGGGTCTTGATAGGATTATACATGTAATTCGGTGGGGACGCAGGGGAAGCCAAGTGATAGATCTGATCCACTGAAGAGAAAAAAACAACACAGAAAAAAAAATAATCAAGTTTTTGTTAAAAAAAAATTAAATAAAAATTACAACACTGGAAGTGACAGTGCATCATCTCTGTAGAGGATCTGTTGGTAAAACTGATCAAGTTCACAAGTTCATAAACATGCAATGTCACAATCACTAAAACAAGAAATCCCGTTCAGAATCCCGTTCTTTTTGACAGCAAGCATATTTGCCATTTTTTGCCATCTGGTATTATATTAAATAATCTGGTAAAGAACGGTCAACAAAGCCAAAAATAAACATTGACTGCATGTTATTCGACCAACTGGACTGGTTGATTCCACTACAGTACCCAAAGACTGTAAGATCTCGGTCTGTATCTGTCAACCAGACTAATAAAGAGACAAAGCTAAATCTAATACAAACATGAAATATCTCTAAGTTTTACTGACATATATTTGGGAGAAAATGAGATAAGGATAAAATGAATTGTAACTGCAATTCTTAATAAAAACTTCACACAAAGTCATGGAAAACTTTTCATAGTATAATTATTATTTCTTTCATTACTGGGCACTGTTTTTTCCCAAAAAAACAAGCATCATCCTGATGTGAGGGGGTTCCCACTATGTTTACTAATTGCTGCTTCTGGCTGTGCTTCTTCCTGTAGCGTCATTATTGTTGCCATTACAACAATAGCCTCATTACTGTAAGAGCAGTGTTTTTAGCATTGAGTTAAATTTGATATGTACAGACTGAAGACTCTGGCACTAGCTATTTTGGAAAGTGATCTACTACTGACATAAGTGTGATGCTGCTAGCAAAAAAACAAAAACACAAATACTTGACCAAAACGTTTTTCAACTCAGGGCGCCTGAAGAGCACCGCAAAAAGCAGAAAAAAGTGTCACCATCTGCAAAAATGTGTACAAGGTGATCCCTCTCTTAAGATGGAAGGCCTTACAAAGCAGTAATTTTCGAATCATCCCACTGAACTCACAACTAGAATCTACTTTTAAATGCAGATATGGATTAGGAAAAAAATGAAGACTACTCAAAGAAGGATGGAAACATATGGATTTGACAGACAAACACAGTATGGTTAATACCACACACATTCAGCACAGTATGGGAATTGAAGAGAGCCTAGGGCAAAGTCACACAGCCTCTCTCTCACAGCATGCCTTGTTTAGACAAATTCACCAAGACAACAGACCGGTGACCAACTGACAAAAAATGAGGGGGTCCATGGACAAAGCAGGCCTGTGGGGGTTTTGGACTGACATAGGTATCTATGCACAGCAGGGACTGTTTTTCTATTTAAGTAAATAAGAATTGATACATAAAATAGAACCAAATTTATTTCATGATCAAACCTCACTGATATCTTTCTCTGTATTTGACAGGATTAAATGTCAAATTTCCTCCTATGCTCTTCACATATTTAGCCCTCTCATAGTGCCTCACGAGCTGTCATGCACACGTGTCTCTAAAAGCACCCCGCTCCCCTGTGTTTACGCCTACAGAGCGCCAACACACAGAGTTTGTCACCAGATGTTCTGACTGAACAGGAGCTGTTCTGTCAGAAAAAGAAGTGAAACACTGCCCTGCACAGTTAGCAAAATATAGCACTGATCCAGGCAATATCAATAATATGGGTAACGTTTGCACCAGCAAACTAACAAAAGCTAGTATAATTATGGCTGTACCCAACGGAAATTATGGCTGTACCCAACAGAAAGCAACTCTTGCTGATGTCATTACGATGTACATGAGAGACACTATCAATGTTGACTGAATCTCATCAATGACACTGTGTTTAGTTTTGTTTCTGAATTAATTCAAAGTCATAACTGCTTGGATCAAGTCCGTGTTAGATAGGAAAGACACCACTCTCTCTCGAGTTTTAGCCCGCTGATTTTCATTTAAGATTTTGACTTTGTTAAGCTTTTGCGTGAGGTTGTGTGTGTTTGTGTGAACATGATAACCTGCTGACACTGTTTTTTCCTACTCTTTTAATTAAGTTTCCTTTTTTTCATGTTCCTGTAACTTTAAATTGTATACTCTAATTTATGCATTTTATACTCTATTTGACCTCTGAAATTCAGTGTGTGGTCTTCTCTTCTTAGTTTTTGGGGTATAATGAATCACAAAAATGATTATGCTTTTCATTCATTTCTGAATTTTAATCTTAGTTAAGCTGTAAATTACCCAACAGCTCAGTTTAAGGATCCTGGCTGAGGCAATCTGAATTTGATTTGATGGAGTCAAATTATTCCATGTATTCCAGCCCCACATCATCACAGAGCCACCACCATACTACTCAGTGGAGATGAAGTACTTTTCTGCATGGCTATTTTTTGTGTCTCTGACAAATCATCATCATCATCATTATCATCATCATCATCGTTAACCGCTTAGTCCAGATAGGGTCGCGGTAGCAGTTGGGAGAGCAGAGAATCCCAGGTGACCCTGTCCCCCGCAACTTCCTCCAGCTCATTCCCGGGGACCCCAAGCCGCTCCCAGGCCAACTTGGAGATATAATCCCTCCAGTGGGTCCTAGGACGACCCCGGGGTCTTATTGCAGTAGGCCGTGCCTGGTACACCCCCACCGGGAGGCGTCCCGGGGGCATCCGGATCAGATGCCCGAACCACCTCAGCTGGCTCCTCTCAATGCGGAGGAGTAGCGGCTCTACTCCGAGCTCCTCCCGGATGGCCGAGCTCCTCACCCTATCAAATAGAGTGTAGCCCGCCACCCTGCGAAGAAAGCTCATTTCTGCCGCTTGTATTCGCGATCTCATTCTTTCGGTCATTACCCACAGCTCATGACCATAGGTGAGGGTCGGGATGTAGACCGATCGGTAAACAGCGAAAAAAAATCACCACTACAGTCCAGTACAGCGACCGCATTACTGCTGCCGCTTGTCCCAGCCTGCGGTCGATCTCACGATCCTTCTTCCCATCACTCGTGAACAAGACCCCGAAATACTTAAACTCCTCCACCTGGGGCAAGTCCTTTCCCCCTACCTGGAGTGGGCATACCATCCTTTTCCGGGCTAAGACCATGGACTCAGACTTGGAGGTGCTGATCCGCATACCAACAGCTTCACACTCAGCTGCAAACCGCTCCAGTGTGCGCTGGAGGCATCCATGTGATCCAGCCAAAAGAACAACATCATCTGCAAATAGCAGAGACGCCACCCTCCGGCCTCCACACATAATGCCCTCCTGACCCCGGCTACGCCTTGACACCCTGTCCATGAATATCACAAACAGGAGTGGAGACAGGGCACAACCCTGGCGGAGTCCAACGCTAACACTGAAAGAGTCCGACTTAATGCCGAGTATACGAACACAGCTCTCACTCCGGGCGTACAGAGATTGAATGGCCCGGAGTAGTAACCCCGGCACCCCATACTCCCGGAGGACCTCCCACAAGATATCTCGGGGAACACGGTCGTAAGCCTTCTCCAAATCCACAAAACACATGTAGACTGGGTTAGCAAACTCCCATGCCCCCTCAACAATCCGTGAGAGGGTGAAAAGCTGGTCCATTGTTCCACGGCCAGGACGGAATCCGCATTGTTCCTCCTCAATCTGAGGTTCAACTATCGGTCGAAGTCTCCTTTCCAGCACCTTGGCATAGACTTTCCCAGGAAGGCTGAGCAGTGTGATACCCCGGTAGTTGGCACACACCCTCCGGTCCCCTTTCTTGAAAATAGGGACCACCACCCCGGTCTGCCAGTCCAAGGGTACTGTTCCCGAGGTCCATGCACTATTGCAGAGGCGTGTCAGCCACGACAGCCCCACAATATCCAGAGCCTTAAGCATCTCCGGACGAATCTCATCCACCCCCGGTGCCTTGCCACTGAAGAGCTTGCCAACTGCCTCTGGCCCTGACTCCCGTGAGGGAGGCATGTCACCCGGATTAAGGAGTTCCTCAAAGTGCTCTTTCCACCGACCGACAATATCCTCATTTGAAGTCAGAGTTTCTCCACCCCTGCTGAATACAGCCTGGGCGCAGTCACCCCGACCACTCCTGAGTCGCCGGACAGTTGTCCAGAACCTCCTTGAGGCAGACCGAAAGTCTTTTTCCATGGCCTCACCAAACTCCTCCCACGCCCTGGATTTTGCTTCTGCCACCGTTGCAGCTGCCACCTTTTTTGCATGTCGGTACCTATCTGCTGAATCGGGAGTCCTTCGGGCCATCCAGTCCCTAAAGGCCTCTTTCTTCAGCTTGACGGCCTCCCTCACCACCGGTGTCCACCAGGGGGTTCTTGGGTTACCGCCATGACAGGCACCAACAAGCTTTTGGCCACAGCTGCGCCTGGCAGCTTCCACAATGGAGGTTTTGAACAGGGTCCATTCAGACTCTATGTCCCCTACCTCCTCCGGGACATGAGAAAAGCTCTCCCGGAGGTGGGAGTTAAAATCATTCCGAACAGGGGCCTCCGACAGTCGTTCCCAGCACACCCTCACTATTCGCTTGGGCCTACCGGGTCTAACCCTCAGTCTTCCCTGCCATCTGATCCAACTCACCACCAGATGGTGATCAGTTGACAGCTCAGCACCTCTCTTCACCCGATTGTCCAGAACATATGGTCCCAAGTCAGATGAAACGACAACAAAGTCGATCATTGACCTTTGACCCAAGGAGCTCTGTTACCATGTACACTTATGAACATCCTTGTGTTCGAACTTGGTGTTCGTTATGGACAATCCATGCCTGGCACAGAAGTCCAATAACAATTCACCATTCGGGTTTAGATCGGGCAGGCCGTTCTTCCCAATCACGCCTCTCCAGGTCTCCCAGTCATTGCCAACATGAGCATTAAAGTCTCCCAGTAAGACTATGGAGTCTGTAGTCAGGACCCTTTCCAGAACCCCGCCCACTTGCTCCAAGAAGGCCGAATACTCCGACCTGTTGTTTGGTGCATAAGCACACACAACAGTCAGAGTTTTCCTCTCTGCGATTTTAATACGCATTGAGGCGACCCTCTCGTCCACCGGGACAAACTCCAACTGTACTGCCGCCAGCCGGGGACTCGTGAGTATCCCCACACCCGCCCGGCGCCTCTCACCTTGTGCAACCCTGGAGTAGGAGAGGGACCAACCCCTATCCAGGAGTTTGGTTCCAGAGCCGATACTGTGGGTGGAGGTGAGCCCAACTATATCTAGTTGGTACCTCTCAACCTCCCGCACAAGCTCCGGCTCCTTCCCCCCCAGTGAGGTTACATTCCACGTACCAAGAGCCAGTTTCTGCTGCAGGGGCCTAGGCCACCAAGGGCCCCCCTGCAATCTCCCACTGCCTGTACGGCACTGCACCACTCCCCCATGCTGGACCTTGCGGGTGGTGGGCCCACATGGTCCCCCCACGTTGCCTCTTCGGGCTGAGCCCGGCCGGGTTACGTGGGCTGCCCGGCCACCAGGCGCTCGCCGAGGGACGCTACCCCCAGGCCTGGCTCCAGGGGTAGGTCCAGGTGACCCTCTCCCGGGCAGGGTACACGATGTTCTATGCCCGTTTTTCACCTGTTCGCCCTGGGAGACCCTACCAGGAGCATGTTGCTCCCGACGACTTAGCTCTGAAGATCCCTAGACCACACAAGCCCTTCCGCCACGACAAGGCCCCGATCCAGGAAGGGACAAATCCACCTTAAAAAAAGCTTTATTTTGGTCTCAGCTGACCATAGAACACGGTCCTACTGGAAGCTCCAGTAATGTCTGGCCAACTATAGGCGCTTGAGTTTGTATGCCCCTGACAATAGAAGCTTTCTTTTGGAAACGATCTCAAAAAAAAAAAAACCTGTGGTTATGTACATTCTGACCCTTAAACTAATGTTTAGATGTGATTATCAAATGATGATGTTTTCTTTTCAGCATTATCGTTTTCATCATTCATCTGTTTTGGTAACCAGCTTGCTTGGCATCAAAACCGCAAACAACAAATGTATATCAGACCTGTGTCTCTCACTGCATGTTTATTCATTACTATTAACAGCCATGTCAATGTAGACTCAGGCTTTTGTTAAAAGTCCATCTCCTGCGCAGAGGATTCTCAACAAGAACACCACGCTGTGCACTGATGCTGCATAGTTACTGCATTAGGTAGTCCATCGCCCACATCTCACACTGTCACGTCTCATTTGATTTTCTCACTGAGCCAGAGGGCTTTTTAAAGTAATACACTTCGATGTCAAACACTTTGTAACACACTTTGATGTCAAAGTTCTGAAATAAGCAGAAGTTCTTCTGCATTCTGCATCATTTTCATGTGGTTAGGTGCTCAAGTACAGGTACCCATGCCTGGAAAAGCTAAATAAGTAAGCAAGTAAATTAATAAATAAATAGAGATGTTTAGCAGTGAAAAATGTGAGAAACGGTTTGACAATGCGAGTATACGGAAAGGTCAGAGAGCATTTTAAACTTTTATGGATAAGAAGCATGAAGAGAGAATGTCTGTCTTGTTGACAGCGCTTTGTTACCTACACAGTTGGGCTCCATTACTAGCATCCATGGTGCAATAACAGACATGTTAACTGTTCTAAACTGTTTTGAAAGTTTAAAAAAACCTATCCATTCTTGAGTAGAACTTATATATGCAATTTCCATTAGAACAGCTTATTCTATTGGTTTGATCAATCATTTACTCCGCTAAACAACATAGTATGTTCTTTAAACAAACTGACTTTACGTGGGAATAAACTGCTGCATCTACATGGAGAAAATGTTCGAATACTAATTATCTCTGGTTTAATATCATAAATATTTCTGACAGTCTTCGAAAGTCACTTGTTTGAATGTCTGTTTTCATCCAAATTAAGCCTAAACTGGATGTGTTTCAAGTTTACACACCTGTCCATAAATATGCTAAATAAAGTATTATTGCTGGTTTAAAAAAAATGTGTGACAAACAAATAAGAAAGAAAAACAAATATAGCAGCATAAGAATATAAACAGTAAAACTTTTTCAGTCAACTGACCAAATGAACTGAGGTAAAATGTAAAAGAAAAAAAGAGGTTGAAAACTTGCATAAGCCATAATAAGAACACACCTCCCCATGCAATAATAATAATAATAATAATAATAATAATAATAATGAAAATAATACTTCAACAATCAAACATTTTCATTCTGTTATCAAGGAAAATAACAAACTGTTCAAGACTATGATACTCATTCAGATTTTCACTGTATGCGCACTCACCTTCAATATAGAGTGGTTCCACCACATCATGGTTGATGAGCTCAAAGTTCTCATGGCCGATCCAGTGCTCTACGTTACGCTTGCGGCCAGTAAAGAAATTATCAACCACAGTCACCTCGTGACCGTCCATCATCAGTTTATCAGTCAGGTGTGAACCCACAAAGCCTGCACCACCAGTGATCTACCGACAGAGAGAGGACAGCCTTTCAGTTCCCATTTAAAAATATTATATTAATCTACTCAACAACACAATTCACCTAATTTAACAAGATTAGCTTAGATCTTAGCACACAACATGAAATATGCTCAAATTTCTGATACAGTTTAGGATGTCAGGAAAGGATTTTTTAATGATGACGTTTCGGTTTGACATCTCACCATCAATTAATCTGCTCTAGCATAACCAGAACACTGAGCAAATCAGAGGAAATTATTTTTATTTTTACTAATTAATGGTATGCTATGTTATACTGACTGCCTGACCATGTGTGACTGTGGTCAAAGGGTTCAGGCTCCTTCCTGACTGCAGCCCTTCTAGCATATCTTCACTTGATTCATTTCATTACTGTACTACTACTGCAAAAAGACTAAAAAAGTGACAGCACTTACGTTAAAAGAACACTTCTTCCCTCATAACTGTTTTCTTTATTTTTCAGGGCAATAAGAGATTTTAAAGAAATCTGACAACCAACAGTCAAAACAGGCACTGACAAAGCAATGATTAATGATGAGCATAAGCACTTATAAGCATCTGCTGTGGTATCAGAGGGTATACACTTAAAACCTCAACTTTGCAATGAAAGAGACAAATGTAACTGCATTAAAATCACTGTCTGTTCTGCAATTTTCATATACCACAGAGGGCCAAGCACAGAGTTTTAATGATTTTGGTCACAAGTTTATTTCTATCACTGCAAGCAAACTTCTACATTAAATATTATGTCTAGCACACGATTACATCTAGCAGACGCCTTTCTCTGAAGCATGCAAAGCCAGCCATCTTTTTTTTAACTTCCACACATAGAGGATAATCTGGGAAGATAATCATATAAGACCTTCCTGAAATCAAGACTGGCCTCAAAATCAGCCTGATAATAATGTACTGTGAACCAGGCTTTAGCTGGCCGAGAGGCTAAGGAACACTTCTACACATTTACTTTTGTATTCAGAGCTCACCCACCACTTTCTTTCAGTATTTCAGAAAAGGCAGTGCTGGAACTGCCACTTAAGGTTGATCCAATCCTCTGTGCACAAAATTGTTCCTAAATTGCTGACTGCTGTTTTAACAATATTATATCTCTGTAGCTTGGATCTGGACTTTGCAGAAGACTTTAAGGAAACTTTAGGAGAAAGTGTTACACACTCACCAATATCCTCTTTCGATCTTTCTCAGACAGGAACTTCACAGGTGGATATCTTTGGGTAAAACTGAAACAAAGAGTGAAAAAACATGAGAAATTAGTGAATTAACTCATCAAGGAATGCAGCAGATAACTTCTCAAACTGCTTTTCTTTCAAAGTTCTCTTGCTTAGGGGTTTAAGTACTGTTTGTATTCACTGGTCTTGTGAAAGTATAGAAGTACACATTGTGAATTTGCATCCTATCATTGAATATGTATTTTTTAACACAAATTATAGAGATCGTTCACTATTTAGTTGAGTGAAGTGGTTGAAGAAGTGGTTACATGAGCAAAAAAAAAAAAAGATTTATCAGATCTTCCTATAGCCTTAATAATCCAATCTGCTCTGATGCATAAAACTGCAACTGCAGTCCACTTGTTTTAGAAGCAGATTTCACAAAGCAGGATTTTTCAGGTTAGCTGGATAACCCCTTTTGACTGAAGCTATACAACAGAAATGCCCCTTACCTCCTTACCATAGAGATGCACCAATCCAACTTTCACCATAATCCAGTTCTGACAGCTGAACTCATCAGCTGATACACAATATATCCTTAAAAAGGGAATCCTTCAGGTGTTCATTTGTAAAGTCAGTGGTTGCGTACAGAACCATTACAACCAAAATAACCATTTGAATGCTTAAATGGCTCATTGTATGGTTAACTGGTTCTTGTCCATGTCCTGCTACATCTGATTTCTTACCTATTACATTACATTTACATTACAGTACATTTTGTATTTGAAAAATGTCATTTATATAATTTTCCACTTATCTCAACCAAGACATATACATTTTGCTTCTTTTAGTTTAGTGCTGGAGCTAAAAGGCTAATTTCGCCAATAAACACCATGAATCAGTATTTACCCAAATCTTTTCTGCAAATACTGCATCCAGGTCTTAATTAAGGTCACACAGACTTGGTGATGTGGTTTAGGACATTGTATGACTTACTATGAACTGTAAAAACAAACAAAACTATAGTGCAGCTGAACACTGTGGCCACTTTAGACAACAGGTACACCTTTCGGATTCAGAATATGATTATGATTTTAATATTAATATAATATGATTACAATTTTTTTGTTGCTTTTTTACAAATCAATGTTAATCTTGTATTCTTGAATTGAAGATACGTTTTTAAATAAGAACAGAAATCACATGTAAATTAGCCTCCACATACCTGCATGACGTGCGCATGTGAAGGGGAGTCAGATTCTACAGTAAATCAGAATTTGCACACCAACTGCTGTCTAAAACGAGAGCCTTTTAGCTAAGTGAGGTAGGTCCCAATACTGGTCCAGCACATCAGACCAGTACATCACTGCTTGCCCCTTCTTCTATTTGACAGTTTTGACTTTAAGCTTGAGCTATCCGGCTAAACTGTGAAATCTTGCTTTGTGAAACATCCCCAGGCCCTATAATACCTGTATAGTTTGTGGACTGATACTGTGGAAAAATTTAACCAGCTACAGACGCAGCTTCTTGTGTGCCTGCAGAGATATGAGCTCAGGGCTTTGGAATCATTGGGGCATGTGTGAGAATAAGAGGAGGGGAAGTTATAGACTGAGTTTTAATTCCCTTGCTTAACTGCGACAGCCACGCAAAAGGCCTGCGCCACACACTAAATGCTCAGTTAGACGCAAGAACCACTCTGCTCTCTAGATCAGAAAATTAGTATGCACTCAAGGAGCAGCACTAAATAAAAAAGCACCCATGAAAGTTTAGAAAACAAAATGGCTGTATGACTGGTATTTGTGCTCACCTTTTGTCAACCTGTATGTATGAATAAGTACCAGCGCTATGTTTGTTTTTTAAAGAAGAAACCCACTCAAGGAGCTAATGTTTTTTTTCCAGTACATTCGTTATCTTACTGCGTTTCCTTTTCTGAGGAACGATTTGACTTTTTCATCCTGATGGCCAGGCGCTGGAGTCCACTCAATCAGTCCTCTCAAACATGCAGGAAGAGTGTGTATGTATGTGTGTGCGTAATCATGCCTCAGGCCCAGTTAACAGTGCGTCAGGCAATCTCTCCTAAGCCTGCTGGGGTCTTGGTAGGGAAATAAGAGAGAGCGAACTGCACTGTGTGAGATTTCACAGCTAATCAAAAAGTAATTGGCGAGTACAGAAAGACAGCACTGCAACAAAGACCTTCCTGAGCCACACATGGCTCACAGCACAGCAGCACTCAGCTTTCCAACTCATTCTACCCTTGCTTTGCCTACTGCACAGTCATTTACCATGCCTAAAGTCATCCAAGTGGAGAAATCCTCAGTACAAACAAACTCATTGCACTTCTCCTTTGCTGATTTTATTTATTTATTTGTTTGTTTGTTTAATTTATTTATTTGTGGACAGGTGTCTTATGTTGCAAGCTCCCTGTAAAACTGGAGAATTACCATCCAATTCCTAGACATCTAAGCACATTTCACACTAATGTAACTTTGTATCAGCAGTACTCTCCTAGATCAGAATGGGCTGCTCAACACGTCAGACTACAAGGTACTGGAATATCATATGGATGCACATGACAAAGCTAGGACACTATAAAAGAAGATTGCCGGAGACTGCCTGACTTAATGGAAAATCATACTTTTTTTTTTAAACAAGTGTGATGTAGTATGTAAACACTGTTAAAAGTCCATATCCTGTATATTTAATGTATTTTATTTCTTCATTTGAAGTCCACTTATAGCATTTTTTTGTGGTATATACACAAAAAATAGTCATAATTCATTTTTACAAAATCATTTTTCAACCTCTTTTTATTCCTTTAGAATCAAACAGGCTGCTTTATTACTGTGCCTTAAAGACTGGCCCAAAATAAATGATCTCTGTTCTGACTGGCTGCCCTGTATCGTGCCACATTTAAAATCACTGGTAGCTGAAACACACCTTAAACTGCCACAGGCTGATGTAAATGAATGAGTTGATGCTCATGACATTAAAGAAAAAAACATTTAAAGTGAGCTTTTTTGAAGCATAGTTTCTATAGAAGGACTGCATGGAATAGATAGTGCATAGTATAGTGCCGTGAAAAAGAATTTGCCTGTCATCCTCTATTTTACTCTATTTTTGCTAATTTGTCACATTCAGTTGTGTCAGATCATCCAACTAATCTACCAGACAGGTAGACAGGTTCTATTTAAGTGATGTTTAGACTCAGATTTAGATGTCTGGGTGTGGCAGTGAAATTAAACCCAAAAGTTAATTTGGTTAACTGGTTGATTTAGTAGCTAAGGAAGCAATTACTTCACACAGAGGGCCAGGTAATGCTGAAGAGCATTTTCCTTCAATAAATGAAATCATCATTTAAAAACAGAATTTTGAGTTTACTTGTGTTATCTTTGTCTAATATTAAAAGTAGTTTGATGATCTGAACATTCAAGTGTGACAAAATAATTTAAAAAATTGGGAAGGGGCAAATTCTTTTTCACAGCACTGCAGGTTTTGAAACTGTAACAACGTTTACATATTATTTCAAACTCCTTTATTTAAAAAAGGCAAAGGGAATTCAGTTTTCCAATTCCAGATTCAAAATGTACCATTTCTTCCCCAGTCCACACAGTCTATGTATGGAAACTACCTTGCTGGCCCAATTTCATGGATTTTGATGTCATGTTGCAAAAACCAGCACATTCACATACATGCACCTATTCAGCCAACAACAATAACCATTCAGGAGTATGTCAGCACCATTGTTTCTTGAATGAGGCAAGATACAGGCCAGTCCATCAGAACAGAGCTCATTTACATACTTTTTCCAGATAATGAAACATAATGACTGGAAATCATGTGACTGGAAATTATATAGATGAACTGTGGTCTCTGACTTTTGCACAGTACTGTGCTTCAGTCTTAAAGGTACAGTAGTAAAAATAGCCTGTTTAATTCTGAGGGATAAACAGCATCGAAGCATATCATAATCAATATGAAAATGAAATATGTAAAATGGCAATGTATTTGTATCAAGGCAATTAAATTTCTTACTCATGTATGTGATAATGAGGTCAAAATGAAAATTCAAACGTAATACTGCAATTTTAAATTGCCATTTGGTATATTACTATTGATATTTCTTTTACATAAAGATTTAGCTGCTTTATTAGTAGTTTTATTTAAATTAAAATGTATTTTCAGAACTGCATTTTTGTGCTTAATGTGATTATGCAACATGTCAAAATGATTGTTAAAATGTAATTTATCTTATATGCATTCTTACTCTTTAGTAATGCATTTACATTGCCTTATCAAAGAGAACAAGCTAGAAAGATGGCAAAATTCAAATGTAAATGGGAAACAGCACCTCTCCTCTTTGCAATTACATATTCTCACCTACTGCACTCATCCTGTGTCAAAACGCCTTTGAAAATACATCCGACCAGATTGCCCAAGAGCACACTGAGTGAAAAAGGCTTAATCTAAAAACACGGTGGCCGAAGAGTTTATAGCTACTCTTATGTTAGCAGATGAGGTGAAGAAGAAAAATATAGCTCCTTGTGATGCTTAATGTCTTTATACATGACCCCATGAGAGAGTGTTTAATCAAAGTCTACTGGTTTATCAATCTGGTGGATAAAAATGAGGCTTTTGTAATATTTATTTGAAAAAAAGAAAAACAGAACATTAGACACCCCCTAGCTGATTTCGGTTGAAATATGACACAGTACTGACATGGTACAACGGCTGTTGTCAACTCAACTCTATGTGCACCAGTACAATTACAGAGTACATTTTTGGTAGCAGATAAAGTGGAACACAGCAATGTATCCACATCTGATTATCACAACATAAGTTAGAAAATAGCCCTTGATGCTGGATTAATCTCTATTTGTTGCTTCAGTAGCCCACAGTAGGCTCTGCTGTTGAGGAGATGACTGACAGGTTGGGAAGTCTGTGAAAATGAAAATGCAATCTGGTCGAATGCATTTTTAAAGGCATTTTGACACAGAATGAGTGCAGTAGGCAACAATACGTAATTGCAAAGCATTTGCAATGCAAAGCATTATTGCATAATTACATTAGGCATAAAAATGTTGTTCAGAAATACATTTTAATTTAAATAAAGCTACTCATAAAGCATCTTTTAGTACAACAAATGGCAAATTAAAATAAAAAGTTCATTTTGTGCTCAACATTGCACGTATGAGTGAGAAATTAAAATGCAAACATACAAATACATTGCCATTTTAAATTTTCATATTAATTTTGATACTGACATGCTTCCATAGTAGAGAGACCGGAAAATCATCATGTAAATGTATGTGAAATGTTTGTGAAAATGTATGGGCATGTATTTTGACTGTTTTACACATGCATCAATCACCTACCTTAGCTCAAGGTCCCGAATCTTTTCTCTTAATGGCGCCACAGCCTGTAATGAGATTAAAAAAAGGAATAAACAAAAGGTTGGAGATGACAAAAGAATGTAAAGTGGGGGGTTAGGGAGGTAAAAAGGAGGAAGAAAAAGCAAGACAAACTCGATGGCAATAAAATATATTATCAGAGTAGTAGAATTGGTTCAATTACCAGTGAGAGACAAGGCCTCATTAACTTGTGAGAGAAACAGATAGAGAGTGAGATATTCTGGAAATGTGTCTTTGTCTGCCATTAAATGGAAAACTACAGAATGAGGCAACTAAGGAAGACCAGAAAAAAGAAAGCAGTTATATCATTTTATCAATATGCATCTCTTCATTTATTGTTCTATAAATAGACTCGACTTCATTAGCATTCTGATTGGAGACTCAGGACATTTTCTGTTGTAGGTCAGCTTTAATGAAATATCAAGCATCAGCAGCTGTGGACACAAATGTCATTCTTTTTACAAAAACTAGTTCAGACACCAACAGATCAGCCTCCACATGCATGTGAAACACTTTGAACCTTAAGGTCAGTAAGATATGGAGAAGGCAGTTATCTAATGAGGCTCTGCCACTAATGAGCAGGCGTTGGGGATCAGAAAAGATAGGATAGTGATCACTTGCTTTAATGTATGTGTGAAGCTCATTTCTATTTACACTATTATTTCACAGGCACCAACCCCTACACCATGAGACACCTCTCCAAACAGCCTGAAAACTACCCCAAAGGAATCTAAAGAAAAATATTCAATGGAAACATTAGATTTAGCAGACCAACAGAAAACTTCTCAGCAAACTCCATCTACCCCTCTCTGTCTGTATGTAACAGACACCAGCTCTCAAAACATATAATTGCGAGTGTTAACCACACAATCAAAGGTTATGAACAGGTGCAAACAAAACACAGCTCATTACAGTGGGGTAAAAAAAGGCTCAGCCAAACCATCCCTTCAACAAAATCCATGGTTCAATGTGTTGCCTGGATTTCTTCATTACAGTGGTGATAGGAACACTAATTTTATTTACTATCCAAAACAAAGGACTTAAACATGTCTTCTTAGTTTTTGTCGGAAGAAAACCTTGTATCTCCATTTTTGACGTTTTTCAGTTTTTTACACAATTTGACCTGTTACCCTTTACATTGTATGCAAATTTCATGATGAATGGACTAAAAGAAATGACCCAAAATGACTTGGAAAAAAGTCTGGTTCCATTGACTTACATTAAAAGTAAAGCAGGTTTTTTCCTTCTCCTCTAAAGTTACCATTTTGGAGATAACAGCGATATGTTATGATGATAATGAGACTTTTTAAACAGTGGAATGCCATGACTTTGCCATGACTTTTCCATGACATAAAATGAAATTTTCATGGCAAACATTTAGCATAGTGCTGGGCGATATATCATTTATACCAGTATTTTGTGATACCGACATACCAACTCCTGTTTTAGTGATTTATTTAATAGATAAGGACCATGTGATTTTGTGCACCTATGGTATGCAGTGCTTCATGCTTTACATTTAAATAATTTGCTTACAATCCATAAAAATAAGTAAACTCAGAAAGCATGAGTTCATTAGCTTTATTACTGTAAAACTTTGATATCATCTGATAGCATGATGAATCAGTAACCACCCAGAACTAATTTAACAGCGTTAAATCTGTTCCTACAGAAAAAAAGACTTACATTATCTAAATATTAGATAAGTACCTCAGAGAACAGATCTGTCAAATTGCTCAATACATTAATGCTCCATAATTTCAAAGCCTATATGTTTTGTCTTGACTCCTCTGTCATCCCATTTTCTCTTGTGCAAATAAGTCCACCGTTTTCAACTGCAAAGAGTTTTAGCATGTTGTCATAACATACAACACAGATGTGTTGTGCATGTACACACATCATGATCAGGTGGACGTCGTTCTTCATTTCATTACGTTTAGATCGAAATCAAATGAGTTAACAACACTTATTTAGCCAGCAAAATGAGTTATCTAACTGAAGTTCAACAAGAGTCTGGCTGCAGACATGCACTCTCAGCTAGATGCACTCTCAGCCACAATGGCAGAAGTGGCCCAATGGCACATTAACATTTAGCTGCTTCTGCTAAGCGATATCAACACTTAATCCATTTTCCATGCATAACCCAGCTAGAGAATTTCATTTAATGTACTCCTCAAACATAAAAAAAACATAAAACCCTTTAACAGTTTCTGTGGGTTCTTGGTGGTGTCCAGTAGTCAATATTGGTATCTTGTGTTTTCCTAATGAGTTGATATCTCAGCGTAAAGGATTTTAATCATTCCACAGGTGTTCTGTGAGTAATTCCAGATATACTTGATTGTTTTCTAATAGCATCTAAAGTCCTAAAAGGATCTAAAGAAACTAGTAGTTTCTAAAGGCAACCATTAAGCCGATTCCCATTAGGAAGCAAAACCATCAGATTTTATTCCTTATGGTTCTAATCGTCTTCAGTGCGGTTTTCATGAGTTTAGCGGTTGCCTCTTTTATTTTGAAAATTTTCAATATTTACTTCCATTATTATTAGTATGCCATCACTAAAATATATTCAATGTAACTATTGTTGCCTAACAGTATGTGGTTCCCTGTTTGCTCATAAAACCAACAAAACACTGTCATGGCAGAGTGCGCACAGATGTCATTAATAGGCTGGCGGAGCATGTCAGGCTGCAGAAATGCACTCTCAGCCTGACATGAACCGCCAGCCTATTAATAACGTCAGACTGAGAGTGCATGTCTGCAGCCAGACCCTTCCCAAGTTCAATCTGGGAGAGATCCGTACATAGTCTGAGGAAGAAATGTATTTATAAGGCTACATAGGTTTCTCAGTGATTTTAGTCCCATCCAAATCCACAATGTCAGTGAGGTTTGACAGTTTTTTTACAGTATTTAGGAGAGGGATATAACAGGAGTCTGTGAGTACCCAGAGTACAACAAAGACTCTATTAAATCAAGTCAGTGAGAGTAGCTCAGCAGTTAGCTCGTCATTTCTTAATGTAGCCACAGCATGTGATGTTCGCTTAGCCACAGCAGTGCAGACCGAGTGCTGTGAAGGCTGATTATCGCTGCAGTTTTCTCTGTGATAAATGATAAAAGTCTCATACATGCGTCTGTCGAGGTGAACCTGCTCTGCAAGTCTCCCTTTAAATTCATATATTCTGAAAGAAACACTGAGTGCACAGTGAATGCCAAGATACAAAAATCTGGGGGTGCATGACCACGCACAGCGACGTGGTGGTTATAGGCAGTGTGTGTCATTTCACTTACAACGCGTCAACTGTAAACCTAGCTTGACTCACAGCAAGGAAGCTAGTCAGGCAGGTGTTGGTGTGAGAAGCAGCAGTGGTGGGTTTTTCCTCTGATATTTGTCTTTTGCAATGCTCGAATGTCAAAACATCTACCACAGCACACACATCCTGGATGTCACACCTCAGTTAGCTGAAACTAGCCCACGTGCAGATACTTTAGTCTCGGGTCTCTGTGCTTTTTGCAATCTAGACTGCAGTGCTTCAAATATGATGAGAAGATTAACCGCATGGGGGAAAAGTCCAGAAAGCTCCATGATTTTTCCACTACTTATTGTTCTCCATGACTTTTCGAGGCCTGGAAAACCAAATTTCTATGTTCCATGACTTTTCCAGGATTTTCATGACCGTACAAACCCTGTGTGCCTTACAATGCCCTGCATGTACCTCTCCAGCATGTGTATTGATGTTTAAGGCCTGAGTTGGGTGTGTGACAGATGGCCACACACCAAGCTTGAGGCAGCATGAGGACAAAGCCCAAGCCCTGAGCACTGGCGAGAACCACAGCGAAGCCACTGTACTACACCTGACGTTTGACCCTGGTGGCCATTACGTAGAGCAGGAGCGGTGACTGGGTGCTCTCTCTTTCCTCTCTCGGCTCAGGTGCTCATGCTGCCCTTAAGCAGAGCCAGGTAATGGCTTTGGGAGCACGGGCACTTTTAAAAAGAGCAGCAAAGGGAAAAGAGACAAGACAGAGAGAGAGAGAGGGGACCCTGCCATTGTTGTTTTAGCTGGGTGATCCAATAAAGTGTATTTCAAATAAAGTTAAAGTGCAGACTGTCAGATTTAATTTGAAAGAAAGTGCATCCATATCAGGTAAATACTTTTTATACGCAGTCCTCCCATTTTAGGAAAACAAAAAAATTGGACATTTGACTGCTTAGCTGTTTCTTGGCCATCGTCTGGCCCAAGAGAGTTAGGGCCCAGTCTAGGGGTTTAGACTTACAGCACAACAGCCATGACAGACACAACAAATCAAAAATATTTGTAAATACCCTGTGAAACTAAAGCAGTCATTCTACACTTTAACCTAATAGTCAGTGTTTATTCAAAGCTAAAAGCTGGAGCACATTTTCTTGGAGGAAGAAAAAGTTTGCAATTAAGCTTATATATTTCAAATTATTCATGCAACAAGATCCAAACAAGGTTCCTCTTTCTTTTCACTGCACTTTCACGTCCCTGAGGCTCAGTCACAGCCAATTTCTAAATACAAGGAAATAAACTATTAGATGGGACTGAATGCAGCTATGCATGAGATTATGTATGTGATTTATTTCCAAGAAGGCAACATACTTAATCATCAATTAAGTGTAATGTAATGCAACTGCACTAAAAGTGCTTATACTCCAAGTGAAAAACATTTATGTTAAGGTGCTGGGGGGTAAGGTTTTGTAAAACCTGCAATGCAATGCAAATTAAATTAGCTCAATATTTTACTGACACACATTCATCACTGCAACCCTTTTTTCTTATTTCCATTTGTCAAAGGATATATATATATATATATATATATATATATTATATATATAAATATATATATATAAACCAAAAAACACAGCTTCATTTTAATCGTGATACAATGTATAAATGTTTTTAAGGTTGCTAAAGGGTGGTTAACTAAAATTATTTCTTAATAATTACATAATTAAGATGCAAACAAGCTCATTAACAGCTGGTTGAAGTGAAAAGCGCCATTCTTGAGAAACCTAGCAAGTCAGAATTGTACACAGTAGAGGTAATAGGACCAGATGTCCGAAGACTTCAATACTTCTAAAAGCTAAATCAATAAACACTACATGCTACCTGATGTCACAACAATACATATAAAAAAGTCAGAAGACACATGTAGGTTCACTGGTAAAATGAATATTTTTGTGACCCCTGGATCCTAGGGGGTCTATTTCACAAACCACTCAGAATTACTTTGTTTACACCCTAAAACATTAAATTATACAGAATTCTTAACAAAATTGATGGAATTCTCCTTTCAAACCTAAGCAGTAAAATTGGAAAGATTTTAAATTAAACTATCAATACATTTTTTCTCTTATTCTATCTAGTCATCATCATCATCATCATCATTATTATTATGTTTCAGTAAATGAATGTTACTACATAAATAACCCAGGTGAAAAACATCAGCTCAACTAGTTTCTAGCCCCCTTACTAATAAAACTTAGCTAATAAGAGAAGCACAGCTAATTAAAATCTTAATTATATTGTCCTCCCAGGTAGTTCCATAATTTGCTTTCAGTGGTGTCAGGCACCTGTCCAGGATGTTTCCTGCCTTCTGTCCAATGACCGCTGGGATAGGCTCCAGCAACCCCCGTGACCCAGGAGGATAAGAGACATATATATAGTGTGTGTGTTTGTGTGTGGGATAAACAAACAGGCAGAGGTGCTAGAGTGAAAATCATGATGGAAGAAGAAAAAAAAAAACAAACAGAAGCAGTTTGTCTTCACCAACCTCATCTATTCTTTGTTCAATCTTCATTTCTCCATGCTCCTGGATGGACCTGTGAGGAAATGAAAGGAGCAGCTGGTGACTGACGCACACGCACACGCACACGCACACGCACATAAAAACAAATCCCTCCAGGATGCCCAGCCCAGCTTTACCGAAATACAGTGTACTTTACTAAGGCCACACGGTGCATTCAGGTATCTCAGAGTCAACATCGTCACATGCTGCAGGCTGAGAAAGTCTGAAGCTAGCTTTCTACTAATCCCCCACCCAGCTTCCAAACTGCTTCACAGCGAGCAGGTCTAATCCATGTGTTTGATCAGTGGCAAGTAGATCTGTTCTTAAACACACACATCTGACAAGACACATACTCTATGGTACTCTAACATCCTGTTTACACTACATGCCTCAAGTTTACAGCTATGAAAGCATATCAGTACCAACATTAAAATAAATTGTAATATGAAAAAAGGCCAATGTAAAATGCCTATTTATTGTCAAACGTTGCCATTTTAATTTGCTATTTGGTATACAAGTATTGACATTTCAATTAAACACTTTATCAACAGCTTTGTTTAAACTAAAAAGAGATCCACAGACTGGATGGAAATGCTCCATGTGATTATGAACTAATGGTGTCAAAATGTTCAATAAAAGGTCATTTTAATTATCAATATTAATAAAATGTCAGGTAGCAGATGAACATAAAGCAGGAGTAAACAAGGAGAAGGAGGAAAAAGAAGAAGAGGAGGAAGAGGAGGAGAAAACAGAGGCTGCCCTTCGGAAGAGCTAATGAGCAAACAATAGTTAGTTTGTCAAGGTAAGGCTGCGTTCAGACGGTGGCGCAAAAGAAGTTATTATACCCTAAAATAAGACGTGGAACACTTTTTTTGCGCTGCAAGAAATTTTCAGCTTCTGAACACTGTTCATAAAGATCTGCTCCACTCCTGCTCTGCACTTTGCAAAGGTGGTTTCCTTGTGGTTTACACATAGATTTTGTATTTTTTCCTCATCTAAACTCAGCCTAACATTCACTGTTTTTGGTCCTAGCTAATGGTGGCTACAGTACTTAGCCTAATCACAGCCACACTGCCTCTCCCTTTTTCAATGAAAAACTCTGCCTGGGCAACATGTCAAGTGACTTGTGATAGGAAAATGTAATGTTACACACATGCCTAACCACAAATACGAGTAACACTGTCAATCCACACAACACCGCTTCATTGAAATGTTGGTCTGTATATTTTCTCTCTGACTCCCCACGATGCAGCATAACAAATATCAGGATAGTGATTTTAGTGCTCGAACACTGACAGCTGTAGCTTTTAACTGACAAGTCGAATGCCTGCACAAATCCATAATTGAATGATTATATGATTTTGTTCTAACTGATCATTTTAAACATCACATTTTATTTTATTTGTACCTCTTCATCCAGTGTAGTAAGTATTAGACTATCTAGTCTAATCTAAGATTTACGTTTGCTCATTTCTGTGTTTGACATAGGCATGGTCCCCATTACTTTTTAAATGTATACAATAAAAATGCATGAAACTAATGAAGTTGTTGCATTGTATTGTCAATGAAGAATGAAAAAGAGTAGAGGTATTAAAAAAGTACAAATTAAAAGGGAAAATTATCTGCAAAAGGAGAAACACAGCATCTTTACCTCATATTGGTGTAGGTTCCCCAGACAGCTGAAAAACAGAAGAGGGAATAAAACAAGAAAGCTAACATCAATATAAAGTAAACAATGCAGTACAATCACACAAACACATACACATATAGTCAAATTCAGCTGTAAACAACAGGTCTTTTTTTAAGTGAGCAGTAATGGTCAGAATTTAGCAACCAAGCTTATGATGGCCAATTAAAGTTGTAAATATGCAGGTGTTTTATGCAGTCTCCATAAATGACTGTTACATATGAATGATTTAAAAAATAAGCTTGATTACTGACAGCCGAGTACCCACAGGATGAATATGTCTTGGTAACTAAAGCTACGCATATATGCTTAATGCCGTTTCATTGAATTGCTGTGCTCAGAAAGTCAGTCACATTTAATGAATATGGAAAATTAACATGCATACGTTCCAAATACCAGAGGGAACATTATAATGATACAACTAGTGATAAAATTCATGATGAAAATCATGGAGCTAGAAATGGCATATCAGAATAGATGGGTATTGACATCAGCAGAAAATGCTGAATCGGATATTGCAGGGGCAAAAAAGAATGAATCTGATCCAAATCTATAACAAATGTGATGTTAGCTGTGTATTTCTTCGTGTGGGGTGGCACAGTGTTTGAGCAGCCTGAGCATGATAGCCTATTTTAAGATGATCATCTTAAGTAAAGAGCTTAAATTAAAAAAAAGCTAATTTTAAAGGTCATATTGTGCCATCTTTAGATAGTCTTTTCTCTGGGTTTATTAACTGTAATTCAGAATGAAAGCATGAACAAATTAGGAAAAAAGACAAACATAAATTAGCTCTTTCATTCCCCAGCTCTCACGCACCACTCATGACTTCAGGATGCCCTCTTGAATTTTTAAGCTTATTATTTTTAAATCTTCTAAAATATAATGCCCACGAAACTGAGATAAGTAATGAAATATCCAGGTCAAAAGTGAGCACAAGCTTCCCATGTTCTCTTTCTGCAGAGAAGAGAGAGCACAGTGACAATTTTTGCTGTTTTGGCTTTGTACTACGGCTCATTGGATACAACCTCTTTATACAAAGTCATGCCATTGGAGCAAGAGTAATTTAAAATATTTACATAATGGTAAATGTCTGTTTTAAACACTTTGTACATCAACCACCAGATTTCTTTCCTGGGAATGCTCTGCCAGACCTGGAATGCCCATAATTTCATGTTCTTGTTTGATTTAGGATTTTTTTGCTCAGTTTTGCCTTCAATAGGTCAAATGCACATTTAGTCAGGCTCAGATCAGGAGGGTGATCAAGAAAATTCAAATCTTTGACCCTGAAAAACTCAGCAATTGCATTTGCCGGGTGTTTGATGATTTGAATTTGACCAGTTAGAAGCAGTCAGGAAAGACAAGTAACCATGGCTGCATGCACTTTGGTAGGTATGTGGTAGTGTTTGACACACTCATTCACACATTCATATACACACAGACACATACAGACACACAGACACATTCTTCAATTAATCCCTACTACGGTTCTCCTATAGTCTTCTCTATTGTTGCCACTCATGATAGTTTTATTTACTAGCATCATTCCTAAACATTAAAAAAAAAAAAACTCTAGACTTTAGTCAACGCTTTTAAGCATAAGCTAATGAGACAACAACACAGAGCTAGCCAAGAAATAACTAAGAAGCCAACTGTCAAATTCAGAGCTTCCCAACTCGCGACCCACACAACCCACCACAAAGGCTTGTGTCACCCACTAGAAGATTTAACTGGCCTGCTTGTTTTAAATCCAAGCAAATAAAACACAATAATCAATGTGACATATCAAATTTCTCTGTACTGTATAACCATGCAACATGACAACCACCAAAAATAAATAAATAATAAAAAAAAATGTTCTGTTTGCAGTCATTTATCTATGATGGATAAATTCCAAGTGATCAAAAAGAGAATGCTTTATATTGACTTGTACTGAAAACACATGGGTATGTCTGTTATGTTAATAAACATTTTACAAAAAAACATAAGGGAGGAAAAAAGGGCAATCAAATTACAGTATGAAATGTTAAGGCATTTTATTACACTAAATGGAAAACAACAGAACTACACTAAACAGTATTCAGCTTAACGGAAAGTAAAAATTGACAACGTCTAGAACTTGAAAACCTAACTTGCTTTCTTGTTGTGGGATTTACACAGATAAATGACTCCACCAGTGTTCGCTGCATCTCACATAAACAGTTAAGTCTATAAATAGACTGCTCATGTTTCACTCTGTTTGTACAGCTTGCAGTGACACCTTGTTTGCACAGCTTGAACGTAATGTTATTTAGCATGCATTTGAAAATCGAATTTTTCCAAAAATAAATGCCTTTTAAAAACTTTGCAGAATAGACATATATATATCTGAGAACAGTCCAATAGCAATTAAATTGACTGCACAGGTAAGAGTGCATTAATGTTGATCATTGAATAGACTTTTTCTCCAAAACAGTCTGTACAGCCCTGATATGTTACTTACCCTATACAGAAAACAAACTTCTACACATTTTAAGGCGCCATTGTTACTTATTTGCTGAATCAACATACTGGGGAAAAAAATAAAGCATAATGTGGCCTGTGCAAAAGTTATGGTACATTTTATTTTATGTGATTTATTTCTCTCATGTTAAGCTCAGCAAATAAATAAATACTTTGCATTTGCAGACACTGTGCATTTCATTCTAGCCTGAATTCCAAGTATAATGAAATGCAGCCTAAATCTTTCATGGGTAACCCATGATGGATGTATATACCCTGAAATTAAACAGTCTTCACTTCAGTTTTATAATTGTTTCCTTTCAAATCTATTTTTCTAGAATACAGATCTGTAATTATGCAAAGCCTCTGGTCCCCAGCCTGAGCCTTTACACCAAAGCAGCCCTTCATCTGGCCATACACATTTCTGCTAACTGGATGATTTATGGTAAATTCCACTGCAACTCATGACAAACCCCCTCCCACACAGCCAGCACTCCCTTACATCAAGCAAATGTAAATAAATGCATAGTGCAAAGTACGGAATGTTCAGTAGACTGAATTTGAGGCAGCTGGCTAATAAGAAGCATTTTTGACATAAGGATGACAAATAAAAACAGTAGTAAATAGCTAAGCTATGCAACAGAAAGCAAACCATACAGAGATTTTGTCTTAATGAGACTCACAGTCTCAACATTCATCTTGTCCAATGCAAAGAAAGACTGACTTTTAAAGAAATTCACCTCAAACTTCTGGAAACTAAGAACGTATATGATCAACCCCCTAAAATCCCAGTCTTATTATATACTAAGGCTTATTATTCAGTAACTACAAGAACTTCAATGCAAACTGGTTGAGCTCTTCTCAGGTTACAGAAGTGTATAATAAAACTTTGTGCCCTGGTCATTATAACTGAAAACAATTATTTGACCAAAGCCATTGATTAAAAGGGTTTATTAAGTTAATTTCTATGAAAATAAAAACTACGAAGCTAAAAACATTGCAATGTGGGACCACTTTGAAGATAATAAACTTGGAAGTTCAGCAGTAGCACAACTACAATGATGTGCCACATAGCTTTTGAGAACTACTGAGGTACCCTGAGCCAAACTTTAAGTGTGCATTCTGAATGGAAAGCTAGTATAGCTAGCATTCATGTTTGTTTTAACCTGGGCTAGTAATGAGGGTGAAACATAATAAGACTACATTTACCTTTTTCTATTTAATAAAGCCTAGAAATGTTGACAGAAAACAGTGCGCTACATCAAGGAGTTTTTATAAAACTATGAAAAATTACATAAGTGTTTTATAAATGTTTTATAAAGATGTATTTATTATCTGCTAAGAAACGTAGTTTACGAACAGTATGGTTGTCAAGTAACCATGGCCTGCAGTAAAGTGATGCATTTTTTTGTGGACCTCTGAACTTTCAGTAGCCCATCAATGTATATTACAGTCTAGTTTTGCTCTCATATAATCATGAAGATATCATAGTTAATTTCCCTTTGGTTTAAACCAAGCGAGGGGAACTGTAGGCCTGGAAGACCAGATTCCTGCTCACTTTGTCTATTTTGCAGTTAGGTAGTTACAGGTTAACCCGTGTATTTGAGCAGGGAAATCATCAAACTGCACTACACACCGGCCCTGATCCCTGGTTTAAACAAATAATGTGAAAGCTGTTTAGTTTCCTATACACACTGATGTCTAGCACCACCTATCAAAAGTACATTCAATGCAAGCAATATTTTGTAATATTTCAGTGCTACATACAGAATTCAGTTCACATGTGCTGTTATAAATGCGCATACACTGAGTATTTTACAAATGCTTTGAATGTGGCTCAGTCAGTCAGAATCAAAACTATCAGTTTTATAACTAATATTTTCATGGGTCACACCTTTCATTGAAGGCATTTAGGCTAGGATTTTAACGATTAATCATCAACAAACAACAGCCTGTTATTGGTCAAAATGAACTGCCAAAATCTGGATCCTGACTGGAAACATAAGTACTTTGGGTTAGGTAGATTCCCACACTGGTATTCTTGTTTTTAGAGCTTTCCTCATACGAGTGGGAGTTGGAGTGGAGAGGGAGTAACATGTGCTTCCGGAAAGGTAGGTGAGAACAGCACAATGTCTGGACAAGGTCACTTGAAAAACATCGTACAATGTGAGATAGCCATGCTTCAGGGGCCTGAAAGCAACTGGGGCAGTCATTCATCATAACTTCCATTCCTGACCCAAATATGATCCAGTCTAATAGGGCTTTTTTTAGGGCTGAGTTACAACACTGAACTCTTTGTCATGTTCATGTTATCATTGTCCTAGAATTATCCATTAGAAGATGGGTAAATTGCGGCCATGCCTTTATTGCAACATTCTGAGTAAATTCTAGAGACAGCTGTGAGTGAAAATCCCAGGATCCCAGGCAATCAGCAGTTATAGAAATACTCAAACCTCTATGTATATACATACATACACACACACTTAAACCTTTTTTTGTCAATAGCGAGTCTGA